ATCAAGAGTTTACATGTTCTTCAAACTGAGCCAGCCAGCATCCCAAGACATTGTTAATTTCTGTTACAGTATTTTTTTATGTCTAGCATTTCTTTTTGATTCTTAGAATTTCCATCTCTGTTTTTACCTTGTTCATGTATTCTTCCATGCTCTCTACTTTACCCACTAGAGTCCTCAGCATATCAATCAATCATAGTTTTAAACTCCCAGTCTCATATTTCAACATCTCTGCCATGTCTGCGTCTGGTTCTGATGCTTGCTCTCTTCCAACTGTATTTTCTGCCTTTCAGTATATCTTGTAATTGTATGCACACACGATGTTGTGCATAAAGGAATGCTGTAAACAGGCTTTTAGTAATGTGGTGGTGAGTTGTGGGGCGAGGGGAAGTGTTCTACAGTCCTAGGAGTAGACACCAGTCTTTTATTGAGCTGGTGCCTCTGGACCATACACTGTAAACCCTGTCAGCTTTTATCTCCCCCTTAGTTTGGGCAGGATGACCAGAGCAGGCTGGAATTGGATGTTTTCCTTCTCTCAAGTTCATCAGACTCTGATAAACTCCAGCAAGTTAAGCTCTGGTTGAAGAGTTTCTCCAGAGAGCAGACCATGTTAAGACGAACAGGATGCTCTGGCATATTTCAAAATGGTTCCCGTTACTGTTAGAATAAGGGGACTCTTGGGGCGCCTGGGTGGTGCAGTCGGTTGGGCGTCCGACTTCAGCCAGGTCACGATCTCGCGGTCTGTGAGTTCGAGCCCCGCGTCGGGCTCTGGGCTGATGGCTCAGAGCCTGGAGCCTGTTTCCGATTCTGTGTCTCCCTCTCTCTCTGCCCCTCCCCCGTTCATGCTCTGTCTCTCCCTGTCCCAAAAATAAATAAACGTTGAAAAAAAAAAAAATTTAAAAAAAAAAAAAAAAAAAAAAAAAAAAGAATAAGGGGACTCTTCTCTGATGTTCACTGTGAGAACCCGGTCAAGGTCCAGGAAGTAAAACTCACAAAAGTGTGGGATCCTGCCAATGACTATGTTCTCTGGAGATTTTATCTCTTAGACTTGTCCACACCGAACCTCCAACGATCTTTCAGTTATAGTACAGGTTTCCATACACTGGCACTGATTCCTACAAAGGTTTCTGTTCTGGTAAATTGTGATTCTCTGTATTTACCTGTCCACATCTCCAAATGTAAGAGCAGCAGCTTATCCTGTGATGTCACCTCTCTTGCAGGTATAAGAAGAGTTGTTGATTTTTTTGATTTATTCAGCTTTTAACTTGTTCAAACATAGTGTCTTCCAAGCATCATATATGCTGGGCTAAAAACTAGTAGCATTTTTTTTGAATATTTTAATATATAGGATCATATGATCTATGAACAGAGAGAGTGTTTGGTTTTTTTTCTTTCTTTTTTCCATTCCAGTTTGGATGCCTTTTATTTCTTTTTCTTGTCTAATTCCTCTAGCTAGAGACTCCAGTATAAGTTACATAGTAGTGGTAAAAATGGGCATCCTTGTCTCATTCCTAATGTTAGGGACAAAGTTCTTGGTTGTTCAACATTGAGAATGATGTTAACTGTGGGCTTTTCATAAATGTCTTCCATCGTGTGAATACATTCCCTCCTAGTCCTAGTTTTCTGGGAGCTTTGTTCATGAAAGGATGTTGGATTTTGTGAAATGACTTAATGTGCTTCAATTAAGATGATCATTCCCCCCACTCAGGTTCTATTAATGTGATTTATTTTCTTAACTGAACTACCCTTGGATTCCTCAAGTAAAACCATTTGTCATGGTGCATAATCCTTTTAATATCATTTTGGACTTGGTTTGCTAGCATTTTGTTGAGGATTTATATACATCTATGTTCATTAGGAACACTGGTCTGTAATTTTCTTTTCTTGTAATGTTTTCTTTCTTTTTTTTTTTTTCTTGTAATGTTTTTAATATGGCTTTGGTATCAGGGTAATGCTGACCTTATAGGAGGATGAGTTGAGAAGTACTCTCTACTCTTGTAATCTTTGGAAGAGTTTAAGAGGGACTGGTGTTCATGCTTCTTTAAATGTTGGATTCAATTCACTGAAAGCCTCTGGCCCGGGACTTTTCTTTGTCAGGAGATTTCTTCCTATTGATTCCATCTTTCCACTTGTTATGTCTGTTGAGATGCTCTGGGTTTTGTTGTTGTTGTTTTGCTTTGTTTTTTGAGACACTTTAAGTAATTTGTATGCTTCTAGCTAAAGGTTTGTCAATTTTATTGATCTTTGAAAAAATCAACTTTGGTTTCATTCAATCTTATTATTTTTCTATTTTCATTTAATTAACTCCTCTCTAATCTTTATTATTTTCTTCCTTCTAGCTTTGAGTTTCTTTTGCTCTTCTTCTGATTCCGTAAGATATTAAATTAGGTAACTGATTTAAGATCCTTCTTCTTTTTTTTTTTTTAACGTAGTTACTTATGGCCATAAATTTCCCTCTGAGCTCTGCCATACTGCATTGTATGGTCAGTATGGTGTTTTCATAGGATTCCTCTCTAGGTGTTTTCTAATTGCCCTTGATTTCTTCTTTGATCCACTGGTAGAGAGCATCTTGTTTTATTTCCACATATTTATTAACATTCCAATTTTCCTTATGTTACTGATTTTTATCTTCATTCCATTGTGGTTGGAGAAGACACTTTGTATGATTTCAGTCTTCTTACATTTTTGAGACTTGTTTTGTGCCTAACATCCGGTCTATCCTGGAGAATATACCATGTGCACTTGAGAAGAATGTGTATTCTGCTGTGTTGAGTAGAAGGTTCTATACATGTTTGTTAGGTCTAGTTGGTTATAGTGTTGCTCAAGACCTCTGTATCCTTAGGTATCTTCTGTCTGTATGTTCTATGCATTATTGGAAATGGGGTATTGAATTTTCTGTTATTCAAGAATTATTTCTCCCTTCCATTCTATTGAAAACTGCTCCTAATGAACTGAAGATTCCTACACCTTTTTAGAATGGCCAAAATAGGTTTCAAAACCAATTCAAAATAGGTTTACAAGAAATTAAACCAAGAAATTCCAATTTTAAATATCCTCAAGGAAAGACAGTATGAGAATAATCACAGCCAACACTTACTGAGCCTTTACTTTCTGCCAGGCCCTAGGGAAATAATTTTAAATGCATTAGCTTATATACTGGGGAGATTTATGATTATCCCAAATTTATAAATGATACAACGGATTATGAGAGTTTGATCAACAGGTAAATACATGTGATTCAAAGTTCTCAGTGCAGCAGTGTTTACTACAGAAAACAATAAAGAGCAGACTAGTGGATAGAACACGGCACTGAGTTAGAAAATCCAGGTTAACAATTTTGTTAATGTTTATTTTTTTTGAGAGAGAGAGAGAGAGAGAGAAACCGAGAGTGTGAGTAGGTGAGGGACAGAGAGAGGGAGACACAGAATCCGAAGCAGGCTCCAGGCTCCGAGCTGTCAGCACAGAGCCCGATATGGGGCTCAAACTCACGAATCGTGAGATCATAACCTGACCTGAAGTTGGACGCTTAACCGACTGAGCCCCCTAGGCACCCCTTGAAAATCCAGGTTTATCACTTTATCACTTATGACTACATAATCCTTAACTCTCCTGGGTCTTAATTTCCTCAAATGCAAATAATCCCTAAGATACTTCCAGTCTTTATGATTCTTGTTTGTTACCCAATCACCTACATGCCGGAAACAAAAGAGTCCCTGACTGAAAATCATTTGAGACAGTAATGTAATACCTTCTATACACTAATCCTGTTTCAGAAGCGTAACTATATAGAAGAAACATCTCTAGTTTGAAAAAGCTAACCAAGACCGTGCAATCATGATGAATCACAAAAAGAAAAATAAACCAATCTCTGAACAAGAAATAAAATCTAGAATTTATATTTACATTTACAACAGAGAAATCTTATTTGCAACCACTGATCTCTAACCGTCAGAGAAAAAGTTCTGACCAAGTGTACCGCGTCATTCGTTCATGGATTTAACACATTTATCAAACAAGTGTTAAACATGTGGCATCGAGCCAAGTTAATACTATACTTGTATGTTTTCAATAAGCTAGGTCACAGTTTAGGCAAGGAGACATTTTGTGGATAAATACAAAAAAAAGCTATGCTAAAGTTATTAACAGAGTCTCACAGTGGCATAAACTTCCTGAGATGACATGCAACTTGAGTCTTATGTCTGCCAGATGAGTGAGACTAGACTGTGCATGGTTATGCAAGGAGAGGGTGCAGGGGAGGGGTGGCAGACAACACAGGAGACTGCTCCAAGGTTAGAGTGAAGAAAAAGCAGACATCATTCAGATTATCATTTAGCGTTGTAGAAACAGGATGTCCATTTAATCCCAATTCTCTCACTTTGGCATACCTAACGCTATTATCACAGCTAATAGTTACTGAGCACTTTACAGACATATGTATGGACTCCTAACATAAAACCAATGAGATAGGGTTTTACAGATAAGAAAACCTAGGTCCAAAGAGATGAAATGTTTTGTCCAGTATCACATGGCTAGTAACAGATAAGGCTAGGACTTAAAACCAAGTAGTCCAACTTGAGAGTTGGCACAAGGATATCCCTCGCTCGGATGTGTTAACCCATGCCCATTATCATCTGATCCCCCCTCACAGGAGTACATGCAGAGCTACCCTGAGGCTCTCCTCAGTCATTTACAAGATCGAGGATCTGGGTATGTGACGGTGCCCCCATGCAGATTCCCAGTGCATCTTGTCCAGGTGTGCACAAATATTTTAACTCTTTCCCCATAGATTTCTTCTCCCCACTAAGCACAACCTTCCCTTTCCTTCCAGAATGCTGGGGAAGTCTATATCAGCCTCTACTAGTAAGAAGGAGAGTTACGAATGTTAGGTTTGAAGGAGAGCTAGTTTTTACCCCACGTCAAAGAGAGAACATAAACTAACACTCCTGTTAAGCCTAAAGAGAAGAAAATTAATTCAACTTCGCAAATGTGAAATCAAACGATACCTTTAGTCCCTCCAATTCATTTTCCAGTTGCTTAGAATAGTGCTCGCTCTGTTCACGCAATTTCCTGTCTTTAGATGCTTCAGCAGCCACAGCTTCTGAATGAACTTCCAGCTTTAAAATAAAATGAACAAAGCGGATTTCATGGTTATACCTGTTTTTTCCAGTAAAATGCTTTTTCCCCCGTGGGAATTTACCTTGTCACAAGAAGATAACTCAAATGCTGAAGTTCACGTTAAGTAAAATTATCCAACAAGAAAACTGTTTTTAAGAATTCAAGCATGATATACACATCATTTCACTCATCTGAAAAAGCAGCTTTAATCACTACCCCCTGGGCACTGGACAATCTGCCTGACTACTAACCTCTTTCTTGGCTCTCTCTGTCCTGCGCAGTTCTTGCCTTAAGCTTTCAACTTTTTGCATCACTAGGTCCACCTCTTCTTCCTTATCTCGGACATGGCGAGCAAGTTTCTGTTTTTGGGTGTGCAACTCTGTTAGCCGCTCATTGATCTCCATGAATTCCTGCATGGCCAGTTTCCTCTGACAGTGTGCGTCTTTCAGCTCTTTGGACTGGTTTTTTAATCGCTCACTAGCCTGGACTAGTTCCTACGGTTTCGTAAAAAGAATATAAGTTACCAATTCTGCAACCTAGGGACCAATTTTGGCCCTCAAAGCAGCCATCATGAAATCATGAAAAGCCAGAATTATTCATCTCAGGACAAAATGAAAAGGAATCAACTACTTTTGAACAGATATTAACAGCGTGGTGCTCTGTTCGCGTTCTCAGCTCCTTACGCTCATCTGCTAACTGCAATGGCACAGCTGATCGAACCTTCTAGTACCTTAGTTTCTACAAACAAATAAAGTGTATAGGAATACCAGAGGTGATGGTCAAAATAAAGATTTTGTGAAATGTAATGGATACTTGTGAGATGTTTGAAAATTATATTGAATCACTACAAATGATAAAAAACAAGGAATGCTCTTATGTGGAGACTATGCCTTAGGCCAGAAGCAAGGAGAGAAAGCTAAATAAACCCCCGGATGAAAGTGGGAGGAGAGAGCTTAAGAAGACTCAGGTCAGGACAACCACCGGCCTCTGGGCAAAAGGAAATGCAAATCCTTTTTGAGAAAAGAGCCCCGATGAAATGTAGGTTTTTTAAGACACACAAATATGAGCGCACAACCACAGATTCCCAAAACCCAAAGAACAAACGACCATAAGCAAAGAACAGAAACAATAATAATAAACTCCAATGGGATTCGGACATTCAAATTGTCAAATAGTAACATAAAATGGAATGTTTGAGAAAGTAAAAAAAAAAAAAAATCATGAAAATGGGAAAATGACAAAAGACTATTAAAAATGACCAGGGAGGGGCGCCTGGGTGGCGCAGTCGGTTAAGCGTCCGACTTCAGCCAGGTCACAATCTCCTGGTCCGTGAGTTCGAGCCCCGCGTCGGGCTCTGGGCTGATGGCTCAGAGCCTGGAGCCTGTTTCTGATTCTGTGTCTCCCTCTCTCTCTGCCCCTCCCCCGTTCATGCTCTGTCTCTCTCTGTCCCAAAAAAATAAATAAACGTTAAAAAAAAAAAATGACCAGGGAGACTTATAAACAACTGTACAGAACATTTAGAAATGGGAAAAATACAAGTGTTAAAACTAAAGACCTGAATCTGGCAATAAAGTAAGCTCTATATTTATGAAGCAAGAAAAAGTGTTAAGGCTCAAACCCAGAAACTTAAAAAAAAATAAAATTGCATAGCACCAAATAAAAACAGATGACCTTAAAGGAAATCAGTGAAAAAAGACAAATCCTCTATCCTCTACCCTCTAAAACAAAAGGACAGACAGAGCAGACACTTAAGAAGTAACAACAGAAACAGGGAAAATGGAAAGAGTGAAGAAAAGTAATTAAAACTGTGTACCCAGAAAAATTCCTGTTCACGTATGAGGCTAAAATAATTAGATTCATATAAACGAAAATGGCCAGAATCACCATCAGATCTGTGCTAAATAGGAACCTCTAAAGATTTCTCTCAGGGAAAAGAAAAATAATTTAAAAAAAAATTTTTTTTTTCAACGTTTATTTATTTTTGGGACAGAGAGAGACAGAGCATGAACGGGGGAGGGGCAGAGAGAGAGGGAGACACAGAATCGGAAACAGGCTCCAGGCTCTGAGCCATCAGCCCAGAGCCTGACGCGGGGCTCGAACTCACGGACCGCGAGATCGTGACCTGGCCCAGGCGCCCCAAGAAAAATAATTTTAAAAGCAAAGTCTATGGGAATGCAAGCTGGGGCAGCCACTCTAGGAAACAGTATGGAGGTTTCTCAAAAAACTAAAAACAGAACCACCCTATGACCCAGCAATGGCACTACTAGGCATTTATCCACGGGATACAGGTGTGCTGTTTCGAAGGGACACATGCACCCTTATGTTTGTAACAGCACTATCAACAATAGCCAAAGTATGGAAAGAGCCCAAATGTCCATCGATGGATGAATGGATAAAGAAGATGTGGTATATATACATACAATGGAGTATTACTCGGCAATCAAAAAGAATTAAATCTTGCCATTTGCAACTACGTGGATGGAACTGGAGGGTATTATGCTAAGTGAAATTAGTCAGAAAGACAAAAATCATATGACTTCACTCATATGAGGACTTTAAGAGACAAAACAGATGAACATAAGGGAAGGGAAACAAAAATAATATAAAAACAGGGAGGGGGACAAAACAGAAGAGACTCAAATATGGAGAACAAACTGAGGGTTACGAGATGGGGGATGGGCTAAATGGGTAAGGGGCATTAAGGAATCTACCCCTGAAATCATTGTTGTACTATATGTTAACTAATTTGGATGTAAATTTAAAAAAATAAAAAATAAAATTAAAAAAAAAAAGCAAAGTCTAATGACAGAGAAATGGGAGGGCCAAGACACTTGTGAACATAAATATGAATGTAAATATGCAGAGAAGACTGTATTATAAACATGTCTCGTTTGTAGAGTAAACAGAAAGGATATAAGTAAAATACTGTCAAAAATAACACAACAGTTGGAAAGAAGTAACAGAATTAGAGGTCCTTAAATTTTGGGGGAGATAATAATTGAGACTTTGTTAAATATGCATGATAATATTCAAGAGCAACAATTAAAAACTGTTAAAACAAGTAGTGAGAAATGTGGGAACAAAAACAAACAAAAACTCAATTAAATTTCAAGAAAAAATTATGCAAGATGGAAAAATTCTGGAGATTAGTTGCACAACAACATGAATATAATTTACACTGCTGAACTGTACATTTTAAAAATGGTTAGGATAGCATTCCATAGGACAGACTCAAAATAGATTACAAAGAAATTGCAAAATCATCATAGAAAAATTGGTGAACACATGATAATGAGAAATTTTGACTTGACAATCATTAATAGATAAACCAAGCAGTTAAAAAATACTGAATATAGAGATTATCAAACTTCATATATAGATGCTTGCACCCAATATTGGGAACATACATTCTTTTCAGGCATATAGTGAACATGTGAAAATGGAACAGTCTGTTTAGGCCATGAAACAAGTCTCAGCAGATTTCAAAGAACAGATATCAACAGTTCAAGTTCTTTGATAATATCACCATTACAATAGAAATTTCTAAAAAGGCTAAATTCCATAATACCTCATTGGTCAAGGAGAAAAGTCATAACAACATGTTAAAATATTTAGAACTAAAAAAAAAGTTGAAAATATAAACAATAAAAATGTTCAGCACATATAATAAAATGAGAATGCAGTAAAAGGTTTACTTAGGGGGAGATTTATAGCTTGAAACACTTGTATTGAAACAAACAAAAGTTTAAATTTAGTGAAATTCCACACAGAAAGAGACAGAACACACTAATGCTTCCACCAACATAAGATGATAATAAAAATAAGAACATAAACTAATGAAAAAGAAATGTTATAATGAACATCAACAAAGCCAAAAGTTGAGAAAAATAATAAAATAGGCAAATACCTGGTGAGATCAAACAAAGAATAAATGCAAAAAGAAACAATGTTAAGAAAGAAAAAAAGACTATGACTACAAACCTGGAAAAGATTAAAAAAGCTAATAAAAGGATACAGTGAAAACTTTATGCCAATAAATTTGTTAACTTTTGAAATGAATGAATTCCTACAAAAATACAATTCATCAAAACTGCTTCAAGAAGAAACAGAATCCCTCAATAGTCCTGTAATGATTAAAGTACCTAAATAATAGTTAACAAACTCTCCCCATCCCCTCAGAGGGAGAGAATTTCCAAACTCAGATGGTTTTACAAGTGATTCCTTTCAAGGAACAAACATTATTATACAAACTTTTCTAGAGAAGAGAAAAAGAGGCAATGCTACACAACTCATTCTAGGAGACCAATATAATCTTGATACCATAAAAAACACCAGAAAAATAAAAGAAAAAAATTACAAGCCAATTTTACTGATAAAAACAAATCAAATATTTAAAAAAAAAAAAAAAACGGCATCAGCAAATCAGCTTCAGTGATATATAAAGTAGATAAGCATGAACTCTGGACTTAAACTTCTTGTGTTGGAATTCTAGCTCCATCACTTTCTAGCTCTATGATCTTGAGCAAGTGAGCTCAAGTGTACACTTAAGCAAGTGTACTTGACCTCTCTGTGCATGGTCTCATCATTTATAAAATACTAATAACAACAGCAGCAACAACAACAATAATAATACCTAAATCACAAAGCTCTTATAAAGATTAAATGATCCAATATACGTAAAACACTCCAATAGCAGTGCCATTACATAAGTGTTACATACACTGGCATATTGTTATTTAGGAGGTAATATATGCACAATTGTGGTTTAACCCAGAAATGCAAAAATGGTTTAACATTAGAAAAAGTCTATAAATATAACTTACCAAACCAAGTCGTTAAAGAACAATCATATAATCACATCAATAAATATTAACAAATTCCTAGAAATCTGTTGTAATAGCGTACAGAAGAGCGTATTTAATAAGTCCGATACCCATTATAAAAATGATTAGCAAAATAGGAATAGAAGAGAACTTTCTTAACCTGATAAGAAGTGTTTACCAAAAACTTACAGAAAACATTATTAGTGGTGAAACAGTAAAGGCAGTTTCTTTGAAACCAGGACTAAGACAGGAAAGCCTGCCATCACCAGTTCTATTCAACACTGTACTGTGGGTCCTAGCTAATACAGTGAGACAAGGAAAGAAAGAAAAGTCATAAAAATTAAAAGAAACAAAACCGTCATTATTTGCAGAAAACCCTAAGAATCTCAAATATATTAGTACAATTAATAAGAATTTAGCAATGTTGCCGAAGCAAAATCAGTAAGAAACTATAAAGATACCATTTAAAATATGAAAAAAATAGAACAGTAAATTTAAAGAAAGGCAAATGAGACCTGCATTAAAATTTTATGTTAAAACATTTAAGATGTTAAAGATATGGTGAAATCTACCAAGTTTGTGGATGGAAAGATCGTGGGGCTCCAGAGGAAAGATTTTTACGGTTTTGTACAGACAGACCTTCCTAAAACTTTGTACTGAAAGTTGGGACCTGGGCTAAAAGCAAGCCTTATAAATTTATGACTAATTTAGAATGAGAAACTCGAAGAGATTTAACTCCTGGATGTATGTGCTTATATTTCAACAGAGGTGGGAGAGAGGAAGCTGGATCAGGGAGCCACCCTCTTTATAGAGCTGTAGGCTCTGGGCTTATCTTTCCCACTGGAGTGATTTATTTATATTCCAAAGGGTCCTAGACTCTTCTTTACATTTGCAAGGAGACTCTCAGAAGGATGGGTAGAGATGATGGGGGCAGGGAGTAGGAAGCATCTGCTTCTCCTCCTTTATATAAAACACCCTCACGTTTTTAGGATTCCTCATCCACAACACAGACTCCATACATATACAGATGTATATACATACATCTAAATATATGTGCGTGTGTGTGTGTGCGTGTGTGCGCGTGTGTGTGTGTATAGGGCTTTATCTATCCAGCTCTCATTGCACTGCCCCAGAGGTAAGACAGCACCCAGGGGAGCAGTGTGCGTATTTCTGCTGTATGTACATCACAATACTATGCTCTGGTCTTGAAATCTGTGTGTGCGTTTGGAATAATATTAATAAATGTGGATAGTAAGAACCTAAAGATTCAATGTTGTAATGATGTCAATTCTCCTGAAATGACTCTACAGATTTAACACAATTTTAATCAAGATCTCATCACAGTTTTTAAGGAATGGAGAGGTGAGATAACAGAGTCATGCATAAATGGAAATGTGACAGGTGACGCTGCACGTCACTGTGGAAAAGAGGGCCTATTTAGTAAATGAACAACTATTAGCTACAGAGGAAAATCTGAAATTGGATCCCTATATCTCACATGATATGAAAAAATAAATCTGGTATGTTAAAATTTAAATACCAAAGGCCAAACTTTAAAACGTCAAAATAAAAACCGAGAACTTTAAAAAAAAAAACAAACTGAGAATTTTAGCCTTAGGTTTCTTACATGAGCCAGCAAATCTCTAAAAAGAAAGATCAATATAGTTGACTACATTAAAACTCAGAACTTCTGTTACTCAAAAGCTCCCATAAAGAAAATGAAAAGTCAAGCCTCTAACTGGGAGGCATCTTAATATATACAACTGACAAAAGATCAATATAGAAATTTTCAAGAATTCTTAACAAACCAGTAAGAAAAAAACAAAAAAACCCAACAGGAAAATGTACAAAAGATACTGAGAGGCATTTCACAGAAGAAACAGAACTGTTAAGTGGGCATACGTGAGATACTCAACCTCATTAGTAATTGGAGAGATTAAGACCATAAATAAAACGTTCTAGACCTAAAATATGAACTTCAATGGGGTTGGCCAAAATAATCTATCTAGTAACATGAAGTATTGTTGAATATAGACCGGGTGGTGGGAGTGGGAGTGTAAATTGGTACAATCTGTGGAAAACGATTTGGCATTACCGTAAAAAACAGAATATTTGCATTACTTATGACCCAATTATTCTACTCGTGATTCTGTGTACAAGTGTGTGCGTATCAGCATACATATTCAAGAACGTTCATTTATAGTGGCTATCAAGTGTAAGCAACTTTAATGTCTGTAGACAAACAACTGGATAGATAGATTCTGGAGCGTTCACATAATGGTGTACCATACAGCAGATAAATGAGTGCTCTACAGTCCCATGGATGCATCTTAGAAATACAACGAGTGAAACAACAAACTGTGCAAAACTGCATGTACCACTTTACACAGCTCAGAAACAAGCCACACCAAATAACGTATGTGTATTTTCATTTCCTGTGGCATTAAAAATTCTTTAGCCACCAGGTTTAATGGCTATATAATATTTCATCATATGAACTGGTCGGGCATTTTGGTAGTTTCTAATATTTTTCTTTTATAAATGTGGTAATTTGTTCTCTGTGAACAAATCTTTGCTTCAATGTCTGATTATCTTCTTGCGTTACATTTCGACAAATGGAATTATTATATCAAGGACTTTAGTGTTTGAAGGCTTTGGATACCTGTTGCAAATTAGCTTTCCAGAAATAAGGTATCAGATTACAAGCTCATCTTCAGCATTTGGCACCGGCATTTTTATTTGTTTTCACTGAAGTATAACGAGCATAGAACGTCATGCTAGTTTCAGGTGCACAACATAGTGACTGGACACTTCTGTACGTTACTCAGTGCTCACTGTGATAGGCATAGTTACCCTCTGTCACCACACAGTGCTGTTAGCGTATTATATCCCCTATGCTCTACTTGTTATCTCCTATTATACATTATTTAGAGATTATAGTACTAAGGGATAAAAAGTATTTTTCAATAAGGAAATGACGGACAATAAGGAGAAGGGGATAAAAAAAATGACTGGCCAGGGCTATGCCACAAAATTCATAATGTTCCTATTCCTTAAGTTAGATGGTCGGTTCAGAGACAGGCATTATATTATGTGCATCAAAACTCCTATAATGTTACGTTTATTCTTTTATATGTATCTAAAGAAAAAAATGTTAAAAAGATTATCTGCTGCCTGTAGGATATTAAGCATATCCCTTAACATACCAATATAATATTTCTTTATAGCACTACCCTCTTCTCAAAAAAAAAAAAGGATTTTTAACATTAAAACTTAATAAAATTGGCAAGATACTTGTTACTATAAATCTAGATGTTGGATTCTCATCTTTTTTATGTTTACTAAGTTTGGCTGAATAATCCTACCTTTATATACACAACAGCTACCACTAATATTATTACGATATTACTATAATATTACTAAAACAAATATAACATCTGTTATAAATTCCAAATTTTATTAAGTTGACCATGAATTTAAATGGATCTGTACACAAAACTGCTTATAATTGCATTAAGAAAAAAGCAAAAAGATACTAATCAAATTCAATTTAACCTTTACAGCTTTCTCTGTCAGTCTTTTCTATTAGCTTCATCAGCAAAAGGTTATTTGTTTTATTTTTAATTGCCTCCATTTCTTTACTGGCAGCAAGACTTTAAGATCTTCCCCAAAAGAACTTCATTATATTATCAATTATATACTGCATCACTGAATACAATTTACGTAAGCCATAAACCACTCATTTCTTTTTTGTGTTGGCTAGTATTAATTCCAACATTTTAAAATTTGTTAATGAAAGGCAAAGTACACATTCTGAGTGGTTTAAGTAAAATGTTTTTCTCTGGTGTGTATTATTTATGGGATGTGTTAGGTTGTCTTTGCTATTAATAAATTTTGTTGATGCTTCTAATACTGTTTAAGTATTATATCAAGTTCTTATGAAAATAACTCTAGCTTCTTCATCCGTGCTTTGAAAGATAAATTGACATTTTAAAAAATAATTAAAACATTAAAGAAATTTTTTATTCTAATCTTTTAAGAATGTTCATATCGGCAAATCACAATGAAAATATGCCTTTAGTTTTTATTTGTCCAAAGACATGACACATATCTCACTGTTTGCTTATTCCGTAATATTTTTTAAAACATTTACTTTTAATCAAGTCCTTTGATTAGACTTTTCAAAAGAACAGATGATTCTGAATGTTAAAAATCTTGACAGTATGTAAATGTCTTCATTACTAGCTATTACTCAAATGACACATACCAAAATAATTAAACATTTTACAACATATACTTTATGTTCTTGTAACTCATTACGAAAGCTTTTAGAATACAAATTAAATAAGATTAAGAATCTAAAACCGGGTTTAACAATGTATCCATGTATCTTTACCTTGTTTAATTCTTCCCTTTCTTGTTGTAGTGTTTTGATTTGTTTTTCATAAGCCTTGATTTGCCTAAAAGCATCATCTAGCTCTCTCCTCACAGCGTTGGCTTCCTCAAGTTGCTGTTCCAAGTGACTCGATTCTAAAAAGAGACAACAGTGTTTATGTTAGTATTCATATAAAAACAAATGCTTGAAACCAAGGTTTTAAACAACTAAGTTGAAAAAAATAACTATCCTGAATTTGGTATCAGGCTTATAGACACCCCTTCCAGTATGACTATAACTCACGACAATTAAGTGCTTGTCAAGTTCACTGAAGAAAGGGTACGGCTAATATCAGTGTGAAAGTGTGTAACACTTGCATGAAAAACGTCTTACGTTTCTGTTAGAAAAAGAAGACCATACTTCCAGAAAAGTACCTTCAGAGCCAATTAAAAGCTTAAAACTATCAAAAAAATCAAAAGCAACCAACTGGACAAAAGAGACCCATTTTCCTCTATGTTTGGTTATCAGCGTTCCTGCGCTGACTTTAGTCAAATTATTATTAAGACGGCTGTGCTTCTCATGGCTGCAGGCCAGTTTCACTAGCGGTTATCTGAAGAACAAAGTCTGATTTCGGAAAGTAAATACGCGAACGCCTCTGATCTAGGTCAGCTCCTCCATTTTCTAGAAGAAGAAACTGAGGCCAGGAGAGCTGGATATCTGGCCTGAGGTCACACTGCTAAATGGGTCTTGGAGCGGAGACGAGGACTCAGGAAATCCTGCATCGGCCTCTTCTTCTGGGAAAGCGACAATTCTTACCACTATCACTTCAGAAGAGTTATTACGAAACAGAACAGCCTCACTCATTTGAACACACTGCCTGCATAAAATTGGATAAATTGACACGAAATAGTCACGGCATCAGAAGTAGGTTGGCAAGCTGAAGAACGGAAGCCCACAAAACCGAGAAATCTACACACATTCACTGTCAATTTCTGTTCTTTACAAAACCTTCCCACTGGGAGAGTCATCCCCACACAGTAGCAGGAACACCTGCGAGCTTGCCAGAAATGCAGAATCTCGGGCCTCAACCCAGACCTAATGAATCAGATCCGTATTTTAACAAGATCCCCCGGGTCTGGCAAATTCAGGTGTGGGAATAGATGATGCACAAAGTATTGTGTATTGCTGAGTCCAACGCTTTCAATAAATGAAGTCACGTTCATAAGACACTGGTCCTACCGTAAAGAGATTTTGTGTGTATAGAGAGTCCTGGAGCCAAGAAGTCACTTAAATGCGTTAGTGTATCCCATACTAACTGCTGCTGGAGTCCTTCAACAAAACAATTTACTGATATTCAGTGCCCTAAATTTATAGATTTATTAAGAGCTTATTGATCTGAGGTGTTTTGAGAGTGTAGATGCATTTATGGATACCACGGTTTTCAACGATTTTCAACAACATCTGTGAAGTTGCATGTAACTAGTTTTTGTTCTGTCTCAACAGAATAAATTTAGCAGTCTAATTTAATAAATGTTTTACTTGAAGAACACTGCAACATCACAGGATGTTTAACCTTAAAGATCATGGGATATTTAGTCCTATGTTCAGCAAAGTATATTTTATCATTTTCTCAAGTTTCAGCATTTCCTGCAGGAATTTTTCTGTTTATACTAATTTCCTTGAAACATTTTTAAGTGATACTTTCCTGTTATTTTAAGGTTTTAACATTTTTAAGATGTCAAAAGTTTATTTTTTTTTAATTTTTTTTTTTTTAACGTTTTTATTTTTGAGACAGAGAGAGACAGAGCATGAACGGGGGAGGGGCAGAGAGAGAGGGAGACACAGAATCGGAAGCAGGCTCCGGGCTCTGAGCCATCAGCCCAGAGCCCGACGCAGGGCTCGAACTCACGGACCGTGAGATCGCGACCTGAGCTGAAGTCGGACGCCTAACCGACTGAGCCACCCAGGCGCCCCTCAAAAGTTTATTTCTTAAAAAATTTTTTTTTTCAACATTTATTTATTTTTCGGACAGAGAGAGACAGAGCATGAATGGGGGAGGGGCAGAGAGAGAGGGAGACACAGAATCGGAAACAGGCTCCAGGCTCTGAGCCATCAGCCCAGAGCCTGATGCGGGGCTCGAACTCACGGACCGCGAGATCGTGACCTGGCTGAAGTCGGACGCTCAACCGACTGCGCCACCCAGGCGCCCCTCAAAAGTTTATTTCTAATAATTAGGAGTCAAAATTTAGTATGTGACATGGCTGACTTTTGTCCTTTGAGGGTCTAACTTTGGTCCTGTTCACGGCTACGGTGTGCCAGCCTGAAGCAATCAGATGGTATGCATTGTGATCCCGTCTCATTCGCCTACTTTCTTCTACTCTTTTCCCCAGTGTGGTGAAGGTTTTCTGCAAATTACTGAGTCATTCGCTTATCTCAACTGCTTTTCATTAGCAACAAAAATGAAATCAGTGTTTTATAAACTGTCTGCATCACATCAAGTTTACAGCAAAACGACTCCATGGGGCGGCTTCGGTGGAGGCCTTCAGTGGTTTATGGTTCCCTTTCAATGTGGGTTAAATTTTGGTTTTCTCTCAGCCATGTCACTTTGGCTGCTTTGCAATGGAGTTGGTAAGTGTATCTGTGAATTATATGTCAGGTTTTCGTGTTTCACACAGAAGGGTTGGAGAAGACAAGCTCACTCGATTATTTATAAAAGCTTCCAATCTGATACACACAGAATTATGCATTCCCCAAAGATAAAAACCCCAACTCAAGAAAAATCCAGAATACACTGAATTTTGGCCGACAACTATCAAATGGCTAAGGCACATGAACATTTACTTTCACTACAACAAATGGTGAATTCAATGAAGACTTTGAAAGAAATCCTCAGTGGAGCGCCTGGGTGGTTTAGTTGGTTGGGTGTCTAACTTCGGCTCAGGCCATGATATCTCGGTTTGTGAGTTCGAGCCCCACATCAGGCTCTGTGCTGACAGCTCAGAGCCTGGAGCCTGCTTGGGATTCTGTGTCTCCCTCTCTCTCTGCCCCTCCCATGCTCATGCTCTGTCTCTGTCTCTCAATAATAAATAAAAAACGGTAAAAAAAATTTTTTTTTAAATAAAAAAAGAAAGAAAGAAATCCTCAGACACTATCAAAAAATACCTCACGCAACACGATGAGCCATATCATTCTAGGCCAAGTAACTAAAAAGCAGTTTTCGTGAGTAAAGAGCAGAAGCAGACCAGCACAACAGGCTAGCACGCTCCAACCAAATGGTTCCTAGCTCACTGCTGCTAGGACAGCTGGGAAATTCAATCATTCCTATGAGGATTTAATAAGGGACAAAAACACAATAAGGAAATTTTCTTTGCACTGTGTGGCATGGAAGAGAAATATTAAATAGACTCTGTCTTGAAGGAGATAACCAGGTCAGGAAGATAAAGAGTAACACCCCACAAATCATAAATGAAGCAGAAACACAAATGTAGATCGTGTGGCAGGTTCTATGGGAGCTAGGGGAGGAGGACCGGGGAAGAGGCCACGGCTACCGCGGGACTCGATGTGGAGCACGGACGACCCGCGAGGGGCGAGGACTGTGACCAGGGCGGCATTAGAAGCACAGTCAAAGCACCTCTCCCTGATCTGTGCAGACACAGTATCACCGCTTCTCCCTTACGTTCTGATTCCTAAAATAACCCAGGACTCTTCTGAGATGGGAAGAGATCTGACTTCCAATCATGACGGGGAAACAGGTTCCCCTATACCTACCCCTATCCCTCCATTCCCTATCCTTCTCCTTCATTTACATGATGCAGGGCAGTGTGTGTGTGTGTGTGTGTGTGTGTGTGTGTGTGTGTGTGTGTGTGAGAGAGAGAGAGAGAGAGAGAGAGAGAGAGAGAGACAGACAGAGGGAGAGGGGAATAGTTAGTTTAGGGTTGCAGAGACAGACAAACCACCCATCTCCAGGCAACAAAAGAAAGGGGGTTACAAAGCACATTAGAGATTACAATAATTATTCAGGAAACAAGAAACCATTCCCATATCTTCTCAGGGAAAAATATCAAATGAGGGTATGAATTTATACTTTCATCTGCTGAGTGTCCATTAGATGACACAAGGAAATTCTGTCTTACCTTCTTGGGAGTTTGGAGTGTGATAAGGAAAGAAGATTTTAAAAAGAAATTTTAAGTAATTATAACTTTATTAAAATTTTCTAGGAGTCTCAATATATTGGAGAACACTGCCATAGGGAAAGAAAAGATATACAGGCACTGATGGTGTGTAATTGTCTACACAAAGATCTAGCTTAAGAAGTACCTAACAGAAGGTGATTTGGGGGCACCGACTCTTGATTTTGGCTCAGGTCGTGATCTCACAGCTCCTGAGATCGAGCCCCAAGTTGAGCTCTGTGCTGACAGTGCATAGCCTGCTTGGGATTCTCTCTCTCCCTCCCTCCCTGTTTGCCCCTCCCCCGCTCATACATACGGTCTCTCGCTCTCAAAAAAATACATAAACTTAAAAAAAAAACAAAGGTGATTTGGATGTTTCTTTAAAGCCAGGACTATAGTCAAGGCTACTCGTAGGGCAGGTTCCTAGAAGAGCCTGTTTTCTATTATCTCTAGCTTTTACATCGAAATGTTTAGGACAGCATGGGTTTAACTGTGAATGAGACACAGAGGTTATCCCCAGCCTTACCACTCTGCCTCCAGTACCGAGTATAATTTCTGGTACGGAACAATACCTCAATAAGGATGTTTATGGGCTGAACTGAGAAGGACTGTGTTGCCAGTGGGAACATGATGGCACAGCCACTGTGGAAAACGGTTTGGCAATTCCTAAAAACACTGAACATGAATTTCTGTACAAATTCAGGAATTCTACTTCTGGACTTGATATATGTTCCCTCATGTGCAAGGCGGCACTTTTTGCAATAAACAAGATGGGAAAGCAACCCGAGTGCATCAGTGACGAACGTAAAAACAGAAGGGAGTGTTTGCATACACACAGAATGTTGTAGAAGACAGGAAATCCGACACAGGCTACAACATGGGTGAACCGTGAAGACGCTGCTAAGTGAAGTCAGCCAGCCACGGAGGGACAAATACTTTATGACTGCACTCACGTGAGGCTCCCAGAGCAGTCAAATGCAGAGACG